AATTGACTAAAAAAAAAAAAAAAATTTTTTTAATTAAAAAAAAAAAACACAAAATACAGAAAACAAAAACACAGATAGTCAAATATCTGCTCAAGGAAACAAATAACACACACACACCGTAACCAAGATGAGACCCAGGCAAAACAGCAGCGCCGTCACAGCAGTGGATGTATCCTGCCCCAAACTAACAAAAATCACAGAAACCCTTGCACGTGCAGTTACCTGCTGAACATAGAAAAGTGAGTTACTCACAATGCACTGAGAATTAAAAACAAGGGAACTCACATCTATACATACCGCGGGAGCGTTATGGCGGCATACTACACATCGTTATCAGTCATAGGAAATGCAGAATATTTGTTTGACGACAACTACAAACATAACAAATCAGCCTCTTGTTAATGGACAAAATTCCTTTTAACAACGAGACAAGCCTACCTGTGAACAATCGTGAGCATCCAACGCACAACAGCCGGAAAACCAGAAACAACGATCCTGGCGGTAACAAGCACATTGGATCGTGCTTGTTACCAGGGGGTTATTACCATCCCCTGTATCTTTCCACAAATTTGCGGCTTCACCGCTACTACACCTACCGTCAATTCACAATGGAAAGACCCACAAAAAGGGGCAGTACCACTAATGGCGCGTCCCAAGCCACAAAACACTCCCGTTTTTATAGTCCCCACAACGAGCTCTGATAGGTTTAAAGTTCCAGCATAACCCCAGCCAATAGCAATAAGGGTTATAGCACCCTGCTACAATACATTTATTTAATCATAGTCTTTCTAAACACTGCATAAATTCTGACTCATTATGTGATTCACTATTTTTTGCTTTCTTTATGCTATAAAGAGTAATTCAAGCTCTAATTTCTTAAACTTTCTCATTGCGACTTTTGTAAATCTCTTCCCACTACAGGCATTTTTACAGGGTGCGGACAGGCTGCAACGATCCTGGCTGCTCATCTCCTTTCTTATTTTCATTACTTTTACTTGCCAGATTCTTTCTATTGTTGTTTCTAATTTGTATTGTTTATTTAACAGACTTACTGTTAATTTCATTCAGTTACGTATGTAATTTGAAATATGTTTCAATTAAAAATTATTGGATGCTAAAATTGTCTTGTACTGATTAAAGTTAAATATCTACTTTAATTCTCTGCTTAGTTTTACTTTCTACATTTATTGTTTCATCTCAGTTGCTGTTGTGGTTTTAATTTTAAACTTTAATATCGCTGCACTCAAAAGTTTTTCATGGCAATCTGTTTTAAAGATTCACCGTAACTCATCTGACAGAAACCGCATCTTCTATGGTTGAAGCCGTTTACACAGATTTCTTATCTTTTACAACACACACACACCTTAAATATGTGCCCCGGGCATGTTCATCTCAGATATTATTTATTAACATATAATTTTGCTAAAAATACTTCAGTATTTAAATTAAAGGCATATGTAAGATTTTTTTATTAAAATATCCAAAAACCACTAGAACAGTTTTATATATTTTGCTGCCTTGTGTACTTACATTATCCCAAATGTTTCGAAGAATGTTTAAATCCAGAGAAATAAGCAATTTTAACTAGTGACATATGGACCGTGTCTATAGTGTCATTGTGTCGCCTACCAATGACGTCATACACCCTCGATTTCCGGGTTTGTTTTGTAGCAAACGTGGAAACACCAAAGACGCTTTAATATGCTATGCATTTTATTAGACAGGTGACGACCGCCCATAGTAGCATTATAACAGAACGTTCAAATGTAGTATGATAAAACAGCGCTGCTTACTTCCGCTGCTTTCCGGAAGGAGCGGAAGCGGTCGACTGTGGCATAATAAAAGCTCCGCTGCTTTCGAGCCGTGTGTCGCGCTCGTTCAGCGGCCTCGTTTTGCTTCGATGGCTTTCCGCCTCACTCTGCTTCATACTAGACGTTAATAAATCTTTAATACATTAGCTCATCCATGAACATGATTTCTGCCGGAGTCCCATCGGATTGCTTCGGCTGTGGGGATGAAGACAACAACTCCCACTCACACTCAGTCACGGTGTCATCTAACTACGCCTTTGTTTCTTTGTTTGCTTTGATATTTTGCCCTCTAGTGGCAAAAAATTACATATTGTGCCTTTAAAGTTTAAACCTTTAATAATTCTGCCTTTCTCTTTTTTCCATGTTAAATTGTAGCCATCCTACATTTTTCTGGCATTATTATTCTTCAACTATTTAAATTTTCTAGCTCATAAGTCTATTATTCACTTTTTTACTCATTTTTGAGTATTTAGCCCTTTTTCTACCTCAATCTGGATGGGATCCAAAGGATCAGTTCACCCGATTCAGTTTCTTGAACCGATGTCTTTCGCCTTCAAAGCGACTTACTCAAGCACATATCACTCATATACACTTGAATGAAGAGTTTGGCTCTCTGTTAGGGAGGCATCCCTCTTCTAACAGAAGCCCTGTCTCTTCGGCTATTCTAGCCTCTCTGAGACCTGCCGTATGAGATTTTATCTCACCTCTTTATCGGCTAAATAAACCTTCACAGCCCTCTCAGCTTGTAAGGTCTACTAATTTTCTTGCGCGCACTCAACCCTTTCTGGGTCGTTTAACTTAAATAATTACCTGTGAATTATTCTATTCTCTTTTGGGTCTTACAGGATTCAGTTTTCCTCAATAATTTCATATTTTATGTTCTAAAAATCAAAACATACGAAGCAGTAAGCCAACTGTCGAGCAATTGGTCATCAATCCTGGCCAGTAACTGATGATCAATCTGCTCCGGGCATGTTGGGCGCCATGTTTTATGGTGTTTAATTTCCTACACCTTCTACTTTATTTTATTTATTCTCAGGTTAGGTAAAGTAAGTCGAATCTGTCCTATCTCATAAGCATCTGAGTTCATACTTACAAAACAGGTCTATTCTGTTCTGACCAATTGCATAGCTTGAGCAAAGGCTTAACAGATAGCGTACACTTTCAGAAAAGAACTCCAGAAAGCAGTCTTCATAACTTTAATGACTTTACTTGTGATTGTTCTTCTCAATTATTTTATGTAAAACTACAAACAAGAAACATTATGTATGAACATTATGTACACATTTAAATACACATCCAGCTTAACATTACAGTTCGATTTTGTACATAGTTCCTTTTTTAACGTTATTTAAAGTAATGTACATGTCAAGAAATCATATTCAAATGAGATTATGCACAAACAGAAGATAAATTGGCAGTACGCTAAAACAAAGTACGCTACCAATTACGCGAATCATGTCTGTTTATAACAAAATATAACAATAATCCCGATCTACACTTTACTTTAATCTACACAACACTTAAAAGCACTATTTAGTATAAAATGTAGCACTTACAGACATATATTTCCAAGATTTAAACGATGGAATCAATAACCCATAGGAACTGCATGCACGTTCTTCTTGACTGCGTTCCCTGAGAGAAACCGAAAGTAAATGGCAAAATAAAGTGTAGTACCTTAAATGTCCTGTAGGAGGCGGAAAAGAAACACTGCTAGACATAAGAAACAGCACACAACTAATGTGTTTAATTATTTCACATAAAATGAGAAAACACATACTTGTTCAGTCACGGCTCTTTTTTAACGTTATTTAAAGTAATGTACATGTCAAGAAATCATATTCAAATGAGATTATGCACAAACAGAAGATAAATTGGCAGTACGCTAAAACAAAGTACGCTACCAATTACGCGAATCATGTCTGTTTATAACAAAATATAACAATAATCCCGATCTACACTTTACTTTAATCTACACAACACTTAAAAAGCACTATTTAGTATAAAATTTAGCACTTACAGACATATATTTCCAAGGTTTAAACGATGGAATCAATAACCCATAGGAACTGCATGCACGTTCTTCTTGACTGCGTTCCCTGCAGGAGTAGTACTACCTCTGAGACAGGCCTTAGGTATACCTTTGCAGATCCTTCTCTAATTATCTTTACCTCCACCTTCCTCACTTTACCATCACTGCTGGGTATGGAGTCCAATCGGCCACTCATTACGTTTCACATTGAAGTCTTTAAGCAAGACAACATCACCTTCCTCAAGGTTCCGTCTTTTCTCAGTCCATTTCCTCCATACTTGCAATGTTGCAAGATAGTCTCTCCTCCAAGCTTTCCAGAAAGTATCTGCCAGACACTGAACTTGTCTCCATTCTTTCTTGTAGAGGTCCTTAATGTCAAAGTCCCCAAGAGGTGCTGGTACAGTACTAGCCTTTTGGTTGAGAAGCATTGCAGGGGATAGAACTTCCAATGTGTCAGGATCAGAAGAAATAGGAAGTAAAGGTCTAGCATTCATTATTGCCATGACCTCTGACATGAGAGTAGTCAAAACCTCATGGGTAAGACGGGAAAGGCCGGTTTTTAGCAGCAATGCATCCAGAATGCGCCGTGCTATGTGGATCATTCTTTCCCAAGCTCCTCCCATGTGGGAAGAGTGGGGAGCATTAAATGTCCATACGCAATCTTGCTCCTGCAAGTAACCTTTTAGTTCTGGATCATCGGCATTGATATTCAGTTCACGACAGGCTCCGATGAAATTAGTTCCTCTGTCGGATCTGAAGTGTTTGACTGGTCCGCGAACTGCCAAGAACCGTCTGAGGGCATTAATGAAACTTGAGGTTGACATGGACTCAATGACTTCCAGATGGACAGCCCTTGTACTTAAGCAAGAAAAAATGACAACCCATCTTTTACTTTCAGCGCTGCCCCCTCTAGTGCGGCGTGATATTATGTTCCATGGCCCAAAAACATCCAGGCCCACATGAGTGAATGGAGGATCCACTTTCACTCTGTCCATAGGTAAATCTGACATTCTCTGTTCTTCGAGTCTTCCTCTTAACTTCCTACAGATAACGCACTGATGCCATGCATATGCTGTAAAGCTTCTTTCCCAGCGAGAATTAGTTCATGCATGCAGTATAGGAAGTAAAGCTTACACTAACTAAAAATGTTTCATGCATTTGTAACGAGTTCTTATATGCAATGCACAAATACAGTTCTAAACAGTTTGAGGATTTATGCATAACAAGAATATGTAAGAGCTTCTGTGCACAGCAATTGCATGTTAGTGTTCCTAAGCAATCGTTTCCAGCTAGAGTTAAATCATGCATGCATTATTAGTAAGGCTTGAACTTACTGAAAGTGTTTCCTTCATTTGAAACGAGTTCTTAAATGCAATACAAATTGACAGTTCGAATGTGTTTGAAATTTAATGCACAACAAGATTATTTTAGAGCTTCTATGCACAACAAGTGTAAGTTAGTGTATCTAAGCAATACCATGCATGAATATACTGTAAAGCTTCTTTCCCAGAGAGAGTTAGTTCATGCATGCAGTATAGGAAGTAAAGCTTACACTACCTTAAAATCTTTCATGCATTTGAAACGACTTATTTGTAAATTTTAGATTAAAATCTTTCATGAATTTGAATCGAGTTCTTAAATCGAACTCTTATATTCTTATATAATCGAGTTGTACTGCACAAATACAGTTCTAAACAGTTAGAGGATTTATTCATAACAAGATATTGTAAGAGCTTCTATGCACAGCAGTGTTAGTGTTCCTAAGCAATATCATGCATGCATATGCTGTAAAAGCTCCTTTCCCAGCGTGAGTTAGTTGATGCATGCAGTATAGGAAGTAAATCTTGCACTTACTCTTAATTTTTCATGCATTTGAAGCAACTTCTTATTTGCAATGCATATAGAGAATTTCTATGCAATACCATGCATGCATGTGCCGTAAAGCTTCTTTCCCAGCGCGAGTTAGTTCATGCATGTAGTATAGGAAGTAACGTTTACACTAACTAAAAATGTTTAATGCATTTGAAACTACTTCTTATTTGCAATGCATATGGAGAGTTTCTATGCAATACCATGCACGCATATGCTGTAAATCTTCTTTCTCAGCGAAAGTTAAATCATGCATGCAGTATAAGTAGTAAAGCTTGCCCTTAATAGAATTGTTTCATGCATTCGAAACGACTTCTTATATGCAAAGCACATAGACACTTCTATTGTGTTAGATATTTAATGCATAACAAGATTCTTCTAGAGTATATTTATAGATATGGATATGAGCATATTTATAGATATAGAGCAGGCACGTGCAGAGGGGGGTGCGATGGGTGCTTGAGCACCTGCCCCTTTTCCCCTTGATGCCCAAAGTGCCCTTTTGTAAAGGAATTTTTTTTTTTTTTTTTTTTAATTAAAACCCCTTGTTGGATGCGCTAGCTGAATTTTCTGCAGCCATAACAAAAATTATTGGAATATGCTGAATTGGTGCAAAATCAATTATTATTGATGCTGAATTATTAATAATAGTTCTTTGTTATCAATATTGCAAACAATTGTGCTGCTAAATATTATACCAGGATGCCTTCATAACGTCCGCGGCTGCCGTAAGTGGAGTTCTCAGCGGAGCGGTGTGCTTGTATACTTATATCAAAGAGTATAGAAGCCCAAGAGGCGAAACTCTGTAGTGATAAGGGCAACAGTCTATAGATAGCGCTGCGGAGGCGCTGCCGCCATTTTGGACTGAAAACTGCTGAAAGTCGCTAGAAGATGCGAGAGAGCAAGTGGGCGAAACGCAAGCATTCTACTCTTTTCTTATGTCTTACAATCTCTTTTAGATTTTTTTTCTCTCACACAAACACACAATTGCTGCTGATAGTTTTGATCTTTTACTACCACTTCCACTTTATTCCTCTATTACTATTTACAGTTAATGTTAAATGTGTGCACTTGACACATTACAAAAATATTATCTGTCTTATAATCTCTTCTCTAACACAATTGCTGCTGATGGTTTTGATCTCTATTGCTTATTTGATTTTGATCTATTACTATTTTCAGTTAAATGTGTGCACTTGATACATGACAGAAATTACAGAAACCTCACAATAGTTGGTGGAGTCCTTGATACAATGTTTGCAAGTTGTTCATATTTTGTGATATTTGAACTGTTTTTTTTTATAAATGTTATGAATGTGTACCATTTATTTTAATTAGTATAGTTTCTATAGGCTACTAAATGATATGTCAATCAGTACTGCATTATTCATAAAGTTTATTTATTACCTGGAGATAACTTGAAAAACACACATAAACCGTATATTTTCGCAATCGTGTGTTTATTGTCTTCACGTTTTTTTCGGCTTTTTATTCAGCTCAGCTACATAGCCGGATGTTTTTGTCCATATTAGGGTTTCCTGCACCTCATAAGTCATTCCTTCTATGAGTCTGTTTTGGACTTTCTTGAGAGCGCCCTCCGGCTTCGAGAATGAATTAAACATACACTGCACAAGAGTGTTGAGCGCTCCAGATATTCACTTCTCCTCATTTTGGATAGTTGGGGCGTCGAGGGGTCTTGTCTTTATATTATCTGACTAAAAAACAATTACTTTGAACTTTTTTTTATTACAGTATTTATTTTAAAGTGCCTTAAAAATAATTATCACAACCCTGATAAGACTTATACTGATTTTCTCATCCTCCGATTTATAGGCTACTTATCAATCCTGTTTTTATCATTATAATAAAAAATAAAAAGAATAAATTCAGAACAGGATTATAATATAATTCTATTTTAATTAAGACAGAAAGATTTTTTCTACAACAACAACAGTTTTTTCTACAACAACAACAGTAGTGTTTACAACAGCAAAACCACCATACCCTGTAAACTCAATAATAATAATAGGCCTAATTTAATTCCGTTTCTATTTTCAGAGTGATTAAGAGGTGCAAAGAAATATTTCATTAATTTTTAAACTTAAAATGGTCTTTTCTGTTCTGTGTTTCTTTTTCAAAACTGCCATTTGCTGCTATCAATACAGAAGCATCAGGCCCTGATATAGAGCATATGCATAATAAGATTCTTTGCAGCACAGCAAGTGTAAGTTAGTGTATCTATGCACAGCAATTGCATTTTAGTGTTCCTTAACAATACCATGCATGCATATGCTTTAAACCTTCTTTCCCATCGAGAGTTAGTTCATGCATGCAGTATAGGAAGGAAAGCTTGCACTAACTGTAAATATTTCATGCATTTGAAGCAACTTATTATTTGCAATGCATATAGACACTTTCTGTGCAATACCATGCATGCATATGCTGTAAAGCTCCTTTCCCAGGGAGAGATAGTTAATGCATGCAGTATAGGAAGTAAATCTTGCACTTACTCTTAATGTTTCATGCATTTGAAGCGACTTCTTATTTGCAATGCATATAGAGAGTTTCTATGCAATACCATGCATGCAAGTGCCTTAAAGATTCTTTCCCAGCAAGAGTTAAATCCTGCATGCAGTATAACGACTAAACCTTGCACTTTTTGAAACTGTTTCATGCATTTGTAACGAGTTTTTATATGCAATGCACAAATACAGTTCTAAACAGAGGATTTATGCATAACAAGAATATGTAAGAGCTTCTGTGCACAACAATTGCATATTAGTGTTCCTAAGCAATACCATGCTTGTGCAATACAGCATATGCTGTAAAACTTCGTTTCCAGCGAAAGTTAAATCATCCATGCAACTGCGGTCAAGCCAGCCGCGGTTTGAAAATACAAGGTCAAGCCAGCCACACTTTTTTTTTTTTTTTTTTTTTTCTTTTTATTCCGCCCTTTTTGTTTGAAATTTACATTTCAATTCCCTCTATTTACAAACAAATACATTGCATAT